TACATGCAAATCCAATTTAATAATAATAATTGTTGAGGCGACAGGCTTCGGGCTAAAATAGAACTGAAAACAGTAATGACAGTAACTAGGTACCTTATCGAGATTATTATTGTAGATGTTTTACATAGAATTCCAAACGAAGTCCGTAATGGTAGCTAACGGCGATTTGTTGTTTTTCTGCTTTTATTGCATTCGTCGTGAAATAAAAATGCGACTTGATTTGTTAAATCGATTTTCAGCTACCCCCATCGTTAATACTGGAAAAAAACGAAATTTTTTGTTAATAATACGGTAAACTGTATCGAATTGAACCTATGCGGAATAAATATTTACGTTTCATAGGTAATCGCCGCAATGACTATTACAAAAAGTATTAAATTACGAAACAGTACACGGATAGTGTTTTTGTTCATTTATGGTAAGTAGGATTTATTGGGACAAATGCGATTTACAATCGGCGATGAGTAATTGGGGCTATTTACGTTTATTGACATTTAGTTAAATGGATGGAAGAGAACAATTAAACGCGGCCATCACAAATCTTTGCGCGCTATTAATTAAATTTAATTAATAACTTTTCATCTTGAGATCACGTAACGCACCTTTTCTTTTCTTTACCGGGAAGAACGGAAAAATAGCAAATTCAGATCCGCCCATCTTGGACATTTGAAAGCTCACCTGCGAGGATGCAAATATTAAGAACAGGTATGGGGTAGCACAGGGGCCAACCTCGGGTTCTGAACTGTTTATCCTGTACAGATTGATTTTATCAAAATTTAAAATAAACTCATAATGACATTTTGATTTCGGCAAAGGACTCTGAAACAGTGGGGACTACAGTTTTTATCTAGACACCTGGATAAATTCTAACTGCATAAAGACTCCAATATTACGGAATGGGATTTCGTATAATGGGCGTTTCTAATCTTTGAACTAAATTTACGTTCGTTCCGCACGTAATTATAGCTTTTTCATTCGCGTTTGGGAAGACGGATACTTAAATTTCTAAAATACCATTTGACAAACGCCACACCTTCAAAACTTATTTGTTCTAGTGCTCGAAAATACTACACACGTTTAATTATCGCGCGCACGTGTCGGAGATTAGTCGAGATCTAAGCGGATACTTTTTAACGAAATAATTACGTCTCGGAATCTCCACCGAATGTAATCGAGATGAGCATTTTCAAGAGGTAGATCGCGTGCTGCTGATGAACCAGAACAATTGCATTCGTGTAGTACGAAAGCGGTTTGTTGGAAACCGTGACACTTCTTATTACTCGAGAATATTAGGCAAGCTCCGAGGGTAATAATTGTTTTATGAGCAATGGAATTCTTGCACTTCTCTCCGTCCATCTACCTTTTAACGTCGTTCACGTTCCTTCAACTGCTACAATGGCCATATAGGTGTTAATACCGGACTTGACGAATGGTTCGTTTTTGTTTATAACTTGAATGTAGGCCATTACCTATTTACATAAAAATGCAAAATCACTGCTTTTATTGAACTTGATATGACATTTTTGCAGGTTTTTCTTCGTGTACAATTTCTTTATCTTTAAAGTTTATTCATTGAGCATTATTTTTGTGTAACATGGGCATACGTGTTAAATGTTGATGGGCTTGGATAAGACATTAATTGATAGCATTTTGTTTACATGATAAGACAGATGTTCGTAAAAATGTTGCATCTTGAGAAAAACTGAAGTGGAGTTCACGATAACACGCAAGCTGTGGAAGAAGTTGTCAGAAGAATTGAGAGTAAGCTCCGCGACCCTTGTGAACGCTCAGAGGCTAGACACTAGATCTTGACGGCAACTGCAACCTCGTTGACGTTTTTGAAAAATTTAAAAAAGCTTTTAAATTGAAGGTGGACCCATATTGTTTTTGGAAATTCAAATAATTGCACTGAAGATTCTCATCATAACCAACAACTGAAAAGATAAGCGTTCAAATTTAACAAAATGATGTATGCATACCGTGAAGGTCGTACAAGTGTTTAAAAAGGAAGTAACATTTTCTTTTTATTTTCGTATGCGCTGTTTGATCAACATTAAATTAGTTTTGGCGTAGATTTAATTTAGGTATGGTTGGGAAAGGTAAAAGCTAAAGTTTTGTTTTTCAAAAAGTTAGTAGTGTGTGTTCGGGACCCAGTAAATTTCGAGTCTATTGTAATTTGGAAGAGCCGAGTGTTTATTGGTAAAAATAAATCTTTCTTCGTTTCGCCCACTATACACGTTGAAACCTATTAAATTAAAAAAGTCTTCTACGAGGTCCGGGTATACAAACCCTCAGACTGAAGGACGAATAAATTTCACGCAAGGGTTTCATGAAAAATATGGTAAAAATGTAGTAGTTTTAAATATTTAAGAATATCGCGCATTTTTAAAATATGAACAATTTTGTTAGACGTTTTTTTACAATTGTGTTAGATACTCTTTTATAGAACCTTCTTAGAATCCATTAAAATCCTTACAATCTTGGAATCTAAGAAACTTTCTTCATATGACGATTTTAGGATATTGGGATCTTCACAGAGTCTTTGTATAATTTAGAATATTCAGAACTATTTGAATCCTTACAATCTCCTCTTCCTATTGTCATCTTAGAAAGCTCTTACTATCTACTTAAAACCTCCAATTAAAGTTAGAATCTTCAGAATCTCTACAACCTTCAAAACCATTAGAATCCTTAGAATATTCTTAGTGTCTTTCTAATATCTTCTAGGGCCATAATACAATCTTTCTCGAACTTTAGAATCCTCTTGCAATTTTCAAACAATCTTCTCCAAATTCTCTTAGTACCTTTTTATAGTCCTGTTAAAACTTTCTAGAATCTATTCTGTCTAGAACTTGAATCTAAACAGTGTCAGAACCCATTGAATCTTTGCAGAATCTTCTTAAGAATCCCCTTATCTTGAAAGAATGAACGATGAAAATTAATTTTGGCGAACGTAGCTCTCAAAAGAAACACTACGCACCCTTAAGCAGTACAGTTATACATTCTGTTTGTACCTCTCCACTTGGAGAGGTGGAATGTACAACTTGCGCCTTATCTTCAAGTTCGAGAACATGCCATCTTAATTCTTACTTTTTCAGCTTTATTTCATGTACGACTTTCCCCTCCGTGTAAGTTCTGCAGGTTTTGCTTCATCGTTAACCGCAATGGGAGACCGTTTTGCTTTTCTTCAGGGATTTTCCCGGTATAATAAGTAGGTGCATGGACTGGGCTTCCGGTCTTCCTGATCTTCTACAGTAGGAAGAATTATAATGGTCGTACTTCAACGTCGAATGTGCCTTTTTTACTAACGCGGTTAACATTTTAGATCAATTGCATTGGGGTAAAAAATGGCCCCCCACTTTTCTTTTACGAAAATGGAGGTATCCGAATTAAACAAAATCTCGATGATGTCAGTCTGTCTGTACTCTTATTTCCGGCTAAACGGCATACCCGATTGGAACCAGATTTGGTACACATATTCTTAGACATATAAAAGATAGGGCTGAAAAGCTTTTGGGCAGAACGCGCATGCGCAGGTGGGCGGGTGGTATCTGTGCTAGCCATAGCCAATTTTTTGAAAGGTTTTCGAGGTTATTAGTGTCAATCGCCTCCAGTTAATCTCCTCAAAATCTGTGCTTAACTCCGTTGTAACTTTAATAGGGATCTTCGACGCTTTCTATCACAGTCTCAGTTAACTTTACATTTGTTACTATTTCCGATTTCGTCCTTTGGCTCTTCTTTTTTATTAATATAGGAAAGTACCTACAAAGGGCGATTGGGACGGTTGGAAGAAGTAGAACCATTGGGCATTGAAATAAAATTTGATACATAGCCACTTGGAATAAAACCAAATTTAACACCAATTTCTAAATTTGGTTTGCGCATGCGCAGTGCCAACTTTCTTATTTATGGAGAGATTTAAATCAAATTTGATGCATAGCCACTTGGAATAAAATCAAATTTAACACCAGTTTCAAAATTTGGTTTTGCGCATGCGCAGTGCCAACTTTCTTATTTATGGAGGGATTTAAATGAAATTTGATACATAGCCACTTAGAATAAAAGCAAATGTAGCGCCCGAGGTAGCGCCATTTTCCAAATTTGGTTTTGTTGTAGGATGTGCAGTGCCAACTTTCTTATTTATGGAAGAAATTTCGTAGGGGAATTTAAAAAAATGCGCTTTACCTGCCCAAGGGTTGTGCACAATTTGATCTTGTTTTTCCTTTACATCGGTTCATCTCAAAAGCGATCTTGGCCTATTACAAACTTAGCACATTCTAAACCGGTGCCTCGGGTTTTGCTCTAAATACAATATAATTGCTTATCTTTACATTTGACGTTCGTTTGCGATCTACGAAGTTTTGAGACATATGATTTCCACTTGCGTAATGTGGGAAATTTGTATTACAACGATTAAAAGTGTCTATAGAATTCCTGTTATTCCAGTGATTCAGTATTTCTTTAGTGTATCTAATCGTTTGTAAATTTACTTTATTGTTTATGAGATATCGTATTTGAGCCACATGTGGAATCCGGCCAAGCTGGTAGCTGTCCATTTATATTTGACGCAGATATATTCTGCATTCTCTTACTATCTGCATTAGTTTAAATTAAATTAACATCTTTGTTTATCTGTAGGTAAACATTTGCTCTCTATATCTATTGTAAATTTCCGTCCATTGTTCTAAGCTAAGTCGTGTTAATTTATGATTTCAATTAGTTGGTTTGTGCCATTATACGCCATATTGCAAATATTAGCACATTTTGGTTTGTCTAAGATAATAATCTTCATTTCAAAATCGGCAACTCTGTTGAAATCAGGGTTGAAATCAATTGGTACAACTGATGACAAACCCTCAAAAGGGTTATGTATATTTTTTCCCAAATTCAGTACGTACCTACCTTGAAATCTTATAAAACGATGCTACCTATAGGTACGAAAATATAAATAAAACATATATAAGGAAAGTTAATAAAATAAGGATTTGGAAAGCACTTACAGTTCAATAAATTTTTCCAGCTTCCACTTAGAACTTTGATGTACTTATTGATGGTCATAGGAGCAAAGACGCCCTTCTTATCGAGATTTCCATCCGACTGACTGCGTACTAAAGGTGCTTTAGGGACCCTCTTACGTCTACTTAAGGAATTGGTGTGAGTAAGCCTTTTATTTGCTTTATTTGGGATATTTCCATTCGGCTTATTTGCCTTCTCGAAATCGTAATCTTCAGACGTCAACGTGACGATCTCGCTCTCCTCGGCCGGGTCGCGAAAACTGTGATAGGTCGACGACAGCAAGCCCTGACTTTGCTTCCGATGTCTCAGGGCGGACTTCCGGTTGGGCGGCAGAGGCGGCGGCCCGAAACAGGTCGTCGTCATCGCCACTGTTTTTTTTTCTGTTTGTCGAAAACCGCACTTCACTCTAATTTACTATCGAATGTAATCATAACTTGGGCTTAACACACGATGAAACCAATAAATATTTATGACCTATACGAAATTCGATGCATTGTTATGCAAATCCCATTTTCCTCCCCCTAGTACCCACAGCTATAATACCGAATGTTAATTATTTGAAACAATGCTGCGGTTATCCAATTTAGATTATGTAATTCGACTAGGACCACACGTGATGGGGGCGATTAAATCGTTCCGGAGGAAAAAAAAGTGATTTGCATACGGTTTAAAATTGTATCACCTCAATCTCGAGATTTTCATGATAATCATCAAATTTTTACATTCCTAAGCGTTGCACACATGCGTGGGATTTAGTCAACTTTTACAGATTGCACTTTTGGTCACCTACGGCCCCGGAATGCACGACTAAAATTTCTGTTTGCATAAATTCATAAAAAAACATCGTTAATCAATACATGATGAAACGACGAATATTTTTTAGGCGCTTTGATGTCCTTTCGTCGCCTACGTATATTTCTACAGCGCGTAATAACTCAGCGACAACATTTTTGTTTAAATATTATAAACTGGCAACTAATTCCTATGTAGTAAATGGTTGTCGCTGTCAAATTAGTTAAACTAATGGGCATACTTAGCAAGGAAGGGCATTTTGGATGTACACGTTTCGACCTTGATAAAAAATGTGGATATTTTGTTTGACGACTTTCCTATATACTAAAATCCAAGCATAATATATGTATTAATGAAGAAGGCGAAAGCTGTTGAATTTCCCATTTTTTTAATCGACAAACTCATCGAAGTAGCCTTTGCGAAAACCTCGGACAAGGGCGAAAAATGTATCATCATACCTTGCTTTCAAACGAGTTTGATTGTTTGCTAACGTGTTAGGTAGTGTAGCGAATTTTCTAGAGCGATGTCAAGGTGCCATAGGTCGCCATCAAGTCGACAGAAAAACGGTGATAAGAAATGAAAGCCGATGTCACTGTATACCGGGTGACCCAATAAGACTGTTCCTCGGCCATATCTCGAGAACCGTTCGTCGTATGACTTAGAGGTAACAACATTTTTGGGTAAATCGGTCATGAAAAATCGCTGGAAAATATGTTCTAAAAATGACCAACAGAGGCCGTAATTGCCATCTTAAATTTTAAAATTGCATTTTCTTCCAATTTCGCATAGTAAACTAAAAAAAATGTGAAACATTTTTAAGGAGAACCAGTTTATCTATCATTTTCGTAAAACAAAAATCAGTTATTTCAAAAACAAAAGATGGTGTGGGGCGTTCAATTGCTTTTGCAATAACCTGCTTTAACTTCTTAACCGTTTGACCAATTTTAACAAATTTGGTATGCTAGAAAAGAGCATTCCTTGGGCAATGAGAATCAAAATATAGTTAATTTAGTTGAATCCTTCTCCGCCAGGGGGATAGTTTTGACACTATGATCCAAAATCCTAAAAAAATCAAATGGAATGGTATGACTTTTTCTTTATGAAACAGTAGCCAAATAACATCCAAACAGGCCAGTGAAAACCGTTTTTCAAAATCTCGTTCCTAACCTCAAATCAGATTGATTAATTAATTAATTAATTAATTAATAAAAATTCGTAAATTGTATCTCAAATTTTCTTTTTACGTATTTCCGGTATTTGTCGATGGCGCGAAAGAAAAGCACCCTACACTTTTAGGTAGGCCTTAGAAAATTAAACAAATGAAACACGATGCATTATAAAATAATAACAGCCGTAATTTGTAAATTATTCTGCTGTGTTTACATTCAGAAAGTGCAGATTTTTGAATTTGTAATCTTTTCTAAAATTTCTAACCAAGAAACATTTAATATGATAGCAATATATTTTGAGTATTTTCAAAATATCGCTGCCCACATCTTCTATTTACGTTATCCGAATCGACCACGAACCATCGCCGCCAGCATATTAAATGCTTCTTGATTAGAAATCGGCATTTTAGAAAAGATTACAAATTCAAAAAACTGCACTTTCTGAATGTAAACACAGCAGAATAATTTACAAATTACGGCTGTTATTATTTTATAATCCATTGGGTTTCATTTGTTTAATTTTCCAAGGCCTACCTAAAAGTGTAGGGTCCTTTTCCAAACAACCTACGCGCCATCGACAAATACCGGAAACACCTCAAATAAGATACAATTTAAGCATTTTTATTAATTAATTAATTAATCTCTTTTTTCCCAATATTTGAGGTTAGGAACGAGATTTTGAAAATCGGTTTTCACTATTTGGGTGTTATTTGGCTACTTTTTCATAAAAAACGTCATATCATTCCATTTGATTTTTTTTGGATTTTGTATCATAGTGTCAAAACTAGCCCCCTGGCGGAGAAGGATTCAACTAAATTAACTATATTGATTGATTCTTGTTGCCCAAAGAATGCTCTTTTCAACGATACCTAATTTGTTACAATCGGTCGAACGGTTAAGAAGTTAAAGCAGGTTATTGCAAAAACAATTGAACGCCCCACGCCATCTTTGTTTTTGAAATAACTGAGTTTTTGTTTTTACGAAAATGATAGTTATACTGGTTCTCTTTAAAATTGTGAAAAAAGAATGTTTAGTTTATTATGCGAATTTTAAAGAAAATGCAATTTTAAAATTTAAGATGGCAGTTACGCTCTCTGGTGGTCATTTTTAGAACTTTGAAAATATTTTCCAGCAATTCTTCATAACCGATTTACCAATAATTTTTTTACCCCTAAGTTATACGACTCAAGAATTCTCTTGAAGCTTTTTATTTGCTAGACACTGTCTACAAGATAAGGATGTCTTATCATGCAGGGGATCGAAACCCATCGAAGATAAGACGATGGTCAATTAGAAAAGAGATGCGCAATTAAAAAAAAATAAAACCAGAAAATTCCGAGTACTTCCGAAGATATGCCAGAAAAACCGGATTTTGCGGAGTTCGTTTTTATTTTTTTCCGATGAACGATGAACAAATACATAAAAATTAAAAACACTTGCTCATTGCCACTTTTTGAGCTCTACAAGATACAGTAGAGATTAAATACAACGTTTAGTTCCGGAGAAATCGTCATCAACTTTATTTTCTTATATGCCCCGTAGCAAAAGTACCTAGTGTGTTGTGTAGCATTTTTTATTACGAACACAACGACATACGGCACAAAAAGAAACAATAGTTGGCAACTCTGTTGGTTTCAACAGGATGGTGCACAAAAAATGTCCTAGAAAATGGAAAATTTGTCCGATGCGTATTCTTGCACGATTAGGGCGTTGTACGCGGGTGCACCATCCTGTTGAAACTTTGGTTTTTTATGTATGCCACATATCGTTGTATTCGTAATAAAAACTGCTACTCAATGCCGTGTGTACTTTTTTACGGGCTATATAAAAAAATAAAATTGTATTGAAAATCCCTTAACAATACCTTGTGGAGCTCAAAAAGGGGAAATCAGAAAGTGTTTTGTATTTTGTTGCATCTGTAATCGGAATTTTCTGGTTTTCTTTACAGAACGATAACTGTTTCATTGCGCAAATTTTCCCTAATTTGACCATCCTCGTATCTTCTATGGTTTTGGAGATCCCCACGATAAACTTTATCTTGACACAGCAAATTAAATTGTGTTTAATTTCAGTTCCAACGTCGATGCCGTCACTAATAGTGTAATTATAAATGTCAGTACAAGTGAATGATAAGTTATAATTAACTTATAAATCAATCTATTTAAGGACCGTTATAAATTCATTAATAATTAATTGTAGATAAATAAACTACAATGGTACTTGGAAGCAATAGACTATCTAGTCTTTTGCACCAAAAATGACCTTTGTGTAACTAGTTTGTGAACCAATTCAACAAAAGTTCTTTATTCTCTATCGCCTGTCAACACACGAGCGAGAAATACCCTGTATATTTGGTTGTCGGATGCAACCGGTTAAGTAGTTGTAGATTCCGGGGACATGAGCCACCGCCGTCGCCACATGTTTGATTGATTTTTGCTACCCGCTATTCGTCGTCTAGTATAAAAACAGTCGCAGATAGCCGCCCACTGCAAAATGTACGTACTTTTCTTCGCATGGGCTAGATAGAGATGAAAATATAATAGCATAATTTGTGTGTACCTCACAGGCGACCAGTTTTGCAGTAGACGGCTACCTGCGATGATTGACGTGACTGTTTTTATATTAGAAGAGAGTTAATTGGACTTGACTTCCGTTTGGTAGATTCCGAGTTATACTTATAGCCATTGAGTTTTTGCCTTGGGTTTTTTTGTGTTAATTGTTAGACAAAGCTCATATATCAATAATGTGCAAGTCATGCCAAAAAGTAAATAAAAAATATAAACCAAAAATAAAATAAGAATGCAATTGTGAATCTTCGGGCACCGGTGGGTATTTACAAACAATCTCGTCTTGGCAATGAACAATCCCTATACACAAATAATATTTAATTGCATAAAAAAGTCATTAATTAGCAATTCGTGGCAAGGATACACTTAACCAAATGCAAATGTTCACCCCAGCTGATCACTTATCAAGTAGGTATAATAACTTAATCTAACTTCGATTAACAAGATTCTCTAACTGAATTACCTCGCGTTAACAGAGACGACAAAACCAACGATAAGACACTTAATTAAGCATGCATCTGCAACTTTTGTAATCAAAATATCAATTGCAGAGCAATTCGTCACGACATTGGTAAAGATAAACTAACGACAAAGGCGATTACCAACAGGTTACCTATACGTTTGCAATTTCCGGTAGTTGAGATAACATTTGCTTAGCGATTCTTCGTTCCTAGATGCAACGTAATAGGTCAGTTCCAGCTAATCGACAAGTAGCACTCTCCAATTCGAAAGCGAGTGTTTGCATTTCATCCAGAACACGATACCTACTTCTTTAATACGATCAGCACCAATGCTCGTAACGTAGAAAGAAAAATATATCCAAAAACCCATTAATAAATGCGTTTCGGATTGCGATATACAGGGTGATTCCTATAGTACCTGCCACCGTTTGGGAGCGTGTAGGTGGTGCGTAGGGGAGTATTTTGATATAGGACACATGGGGTCG